ATAGAGTCAAAATGGCATCTGCTCAGACATGCGCAACAACGTTGCCAAACCCCTTCCACCTTTTGAACACCACTACTGCAGTGTGCCTCTCAGTACATAGTTCTTACTCTGTACACCCCCAAATACACCAGGAAACACGAGAGAAAACTGAAACATAAGCACTTGTCATTCCTTGCTGCAGGGCAAGAAGGCCAAATCTTAACCTGAGTCCCACAGGGCCATCAGGGATTCAACTCATCCCTAAGAAGATCACTGTCCTAGACGTGTACAGCGCTCTGCCAGCAAGGTCACTGGATACATTGTACCCTGGTGATCACTGCCTGTAGAATCCAGTGCCCATTGTTACCTTTACAGGTCATCTCCAATTATGCATGCGGGGTCTGGGTACAGTTCCTTTTTGTCTCCAGGGATAAGCAAACCCAGCAGAGGTGTTCAAAATAGGTTATAAATACAGAATTAAATCACAAGAAAGGAATTTTTCAAAAAAGACATCTGTGGGCACATCCACCACCAAAGAACACTAGCTATAAACTGAGGTGTGAATGAGCTGGAACAGGTTATGCCTGGGTGGAGAATTCCTGCCTTTTTTTGCCAGTCTCCATTCATCTGACGTCAGCAACATAACCCAAGTACTCAAAAATATGAAGTACTCTTTATCCTCTGATGTACAATTAAGAAACCAAATCAACCAAACTTTCAGAATGTTGATTGTGAGGAGTTTCCTTCGATGTCCAAATCCCAAGCACATCAAGGTACACAGGACACTATCTCAACAGGTTGGCATTCATCATCAGGATCATCCACAAGGTTGGAGAACTCTTACTCAACTTCAGAGGCAGATTCCTGAGACACCAGGCCAGGAAAAGCCTGTCTTTGGTGCCAGGTGAATCTGCCTATCCAAGGACTTGAATGATTTGTCCTCCAACCAAAGGGTGTTGTGTTAAAGGGTGCTGGAGTTGAAATGGGCAGATGTAAAAGGAGGATACCATCAGCCCAGGACTCTCATGCAAATGCAAAGAGTTGGACAACTCTTTGACTGAAATCTCTGAGTCGGGGCTTGGAAACCTGTGGAAGATAACCTCTGGTTTGAGCTGTGTTTAGGATTAGACCCAGATATTCCAGGTCATGGGCTGGTTCCAGCACTGACTTCTGAAGGTTCAGGACCCCGCCAAACCTCTTGATGTTCAGGACTACATTGTCTACCATAACCCATGCTGACTGTACTCTCAGGAGGTCATCATGACATCCCATACTGGGAATGCCCTGTGAGTGCAGTAAGATTTACACAGGGGCCAGCACCTTGGTTAATACCCGCAGTACAGAATGGCAGGACCACAAATTGGAAGGTAGCAGGCCAACAGAAAATTCAAGGAATCACTGATGCGCTGGAAAATTGAGGACATGCAAGTACAATTCCTTGATGTCCACACAGGCCAGAAAGTCTACCTGATAAACAGAGGCTACGACAGACCTAGTGGATGCAATCTGGGATTTCAGAGTGCAACATTGAGTCAGGGATTTGAGAGACTCAGCTTTAGTCTTAGTGGCTGAAGGTTCAGAGGCTGTTAGTGCAAAAGGAAGATCAGATCGTGATGATGCTGGGTAAGGCGCAGTAGTGTTCTTATGGCCCCTACGTTCAGGGTCAGCAATCAGTTTTGCCATTTGGTACATAAAGTCCTGCATAACTGCAGTAAAGTCCTCCCTGGATAGAACAGAGGAAGCGCCATGCCAGGCAAAGTCTCTGAAGATGGCACAGACTCTAGCAAAATTCCAGGCCAACGGTGTCTGGCACTTTAGGGGGGTAACTACAGACAGCCCCTGAAACATTACTGAAGCGTGAGCTAGAGACACCGAGTATATTGGGAATGGCCTCCATTGTCTACAATCGCACTTATGGTACCAAGCAGGGCTTTCCATACTCAAGTCCAAATTCTGGGAAGCAGATGTAAGGTTAGGTGGCCAAGCCAACAAACATGTTTGCTCCTGATGACATGTGATAACACAAAACAGCTGTAGAGTGATTTTACATGCAAGAGCTCCTGCCACCAATATACGGTGCATACTAGGACATTATGACACATACTTGCAGGGGGCCCCTAAAAGCAAAAATATTGCATTGGACTTTACTATCACTTGAAAGTTTCCTAATGTTCCCGTTTTGTTCTTGCATATATATTTCTCAGTGCAATTATATTTTTGGTGATATAGTAACCTTATACTGTTGCTTATTGTTTATTGGACCAGACACACCACACCTGTCTGTAAATGTACAATGATGACTTCATGGCTAAATGTCTTAATGATCAGGTATCCTAACCAAATTTCAGCAGTGCCAGTATGTCAGGTATGCAGTGCCTTGAAAAAGTATTCATACCCCTTGAAATTTTCCACAATTTGTCATGTTACAATCAAAAACGTAAATGTATTTTATTGGGATTTTATGTGATAGACCAACACAAAGTGGCACATAATTGTGAAGTGGAAGGAAAATGATAAATGGTTTTCAACATTTTTTTTACAAATAAATATCTGAAAATTGTGGCGTGCATTTGTATTTAGCCCCCTTTACTCTGATACCCCTAACTAAAATCTAGTGGAACCAATTGCCTTCAGAAGTCACCTAATTAGTAAATAGAGTCCACCTGTGTGTGGTTTAATCTCAGCATAAATACAGCTGTTCTGTAAAGCCCTCATCTGCTCACAGTACAGAGCTCTAGCAGAGCCCGGGAGACTTGGTGAGCACCCCCGCAGGTGCGTTCATACGCAGGGAGGGGGGGGGTGGAGGCCGGCGCCCTGGTGGACTGTGTGAAAGCAATTGGGCAGCAGCGGTGCCGCCCGAATGCTTTCACCTGACAGGTGAGCCCTGCTGCTTGCCTGCAACAGAGCTAAATGTTGAAGAAAAAGCTACCTGCCCGACACCTGGAACTACATGTCCCGGGCGTCGGGCGATACAAATTCAACATCCCTGAATTAATAGAGTTCACCTGTGTGTGCTTTCAGTGAAGCCCTTAGAGGTTTGTTAGAGAACGTTAGCGAACAAAGTATCATGAAGGCCAAGGAACACACCAGACAGGTCACAGATAAAGTTGTGGAGCAATTTAAAGCAGGGTTAGGTTATAAGAAAATATCCCAAGCTTTGAACATCTCACAGCCATGTGGGGGACACAGCAAACATGTGGAAGAAGGTGCTCTGGTCAGATGAGACCAAAATGTAAAATTTCAGCCTAAAAGCAAATTGCTATGTGTTGGAGAAAACAAACACTGCACATCACCATGAACCATCCGCACCGTGAAACGTGGTGGCAGCATAATGTTGTGGGGATGCTACTCTTCAGCAGGGACAGGGAAGCTGGTCAGAGTTGACGGGAAGATGGATGCAGCCAAATACAGGGCAATCTTAGAAGAAAACCTGTTAGAGTCTGCAAAAGACTTGAGACTGGGGCGGAGGTTCACCTTCCAGCAGGACAACGACCCTAAACATACGGGCAGAGCTACAAAGGAATGGTTTTAAATCGCAGCATATTCATGTGTTAGAATGGCCCAGTCAAAGTCCAGACCTAAATCCAATTGAGAATCTGTGGCAAGACGTGAAAATTACTGTTCACAGACCTTCTCCATCCAATCTGACAGAGCTTGAGCTATTTTGCAAAGAATGGGCAACAATTTCACTCTCTAGATGTGAAAAGCTGGTAGAGACATCCCCAAAAAGACTTGCAGCTGTAATTGGAGTGAAAGGCGGTTCTACAAAGTATTGACTCTGGGGGGCTGAATACAAATGCACACGACACTTTTCACATATTTATTTGTAAAAAATGTTGAAAACCATTTATCATTTTCCTTCCACTTCACAATTATATGCCACTTTGTGTTGGTCTATCACATAAATTCCCAAAAAAAGTAATTTACATTTTTGGTTGTAACATGACAAAATGTGGAAAATTTCAAGGGGTATGAATACTTTTTCAAGGCACTGTATTTCAAAATAACCGTCTGACTTATCTTATTAGTCTTACACTAATATTATTTGCATTGTTTTAAAGTACACATCAGGATTTTGTTTGGTTCATTATAAACTGAGAAATAGACTAAAAGTTTTTTGGGGTTTTTTTTTGGGGTTTTTATTTAAAACACTGTAGTGTTTTCCTTAAAAACTGTCTGCCTGCACAGAGAGTGTACACAAAAATGATGTTTTGTTTATGAACAAACCCTATGTTACTGCATGTTTAGGAACCACAATGGTTGGAAAGCAATCATTAGCTGAGACTGGGGTTGTCAGGGAAATAGACAGCAGTCCAACAGTTGTCCAATAGGTATAGTATATTAGCATTCCCTCAGTATAGGCACAAATGCTAGGGGACATTATTCCACAGAATGCAGATGCTTTTCAGGTTAGAGGTATCTAAAATGAAGAACAAAAATTTAAAGCAGAAATAGTCCTTGCTGTAAAAAAACTGCAAGCAGGCAGGCTCTTCTGCAATGCATTGCCCCTACCTGCCTGCTCGCTGTCTGCTTTGGCAATGTAAACTCAGTTGTACATGCACAGCTCAGCTCATAGTCCCTGAGTGCTGGGATGATGGCCTTCTGCGCATGCGCAGGAGTAATGTCATCCTCTGCCAGCCAATGAAGAGGCCTGAAGACTGGCACTCAGATGATGCTGGTGCAGGACCAGTAGACAGGAATGTATGGAGATATTAGTTCAGCTTTATTGTATTGAAGCTTATCAGTCCTTACATGTAGTAACTGTATTATTTTAAAATTTTTAGATGACAAAAGAGGAAGACACGTTTGAAGTACAGCCTGTGACACTCATGGCTACCTTCATAGATACAGAGGCTGTGAAATTACCAAGTAAAAAAAAAAAAGAAAAAATAAATGCACCCACCTTGTTTAAGGACTAGTTAGCAGCACCAGTATATGAAATTTTTGTTTTGAAGTTTAAACATGCTTTAAAGATACAGTAAATTGGTGAAGCAACCTGGGATTTGAGAGTGCACACTTACCAATTTAAAGGCTCTTGATGGGGCTGCCAGAGCACCTGTCTTCTCCAAATAAGCGTCCCAGGAGAAACTTTTTGGGTCTTTGTATTCTAATACAGAAAAAAGAGATTACATCTAAAGATGAACTACAAATTTATATCTAGACTTGACTTAGAAACAGTATCCTCCTGTAAATCTACTGCATACACATGAGCTGATAAAGAAATTTCTGACAGAAGGAGATAACAGGGAGCTGAAGGATGAGCGGATAAATGTGCTGCAACCTGGCACTATCTAGCAGGGTTGTGTAAATATCAGGGCTGACTGGACAGAACAAATGATGTGGCATATAAAATAGTGCCCATATATGTATTTAAATCATGTACTGAGCAGCTTGCTTGGACGTTAGCTTTAACGCTTTCACTGCCAGGCCCCGAACTCCACATTTAATCCTAGGTGGCTAAACGTTTGCAATGTTTTACAGCTTTCAGAGTTTTTTTTCCTTTGTTGAACACACATACACAAAACATTTTCTGAAAGCACAGGACAGGAATAAAAAAAAAAAAATTCCTAATTTGGTAGGTCCTGAAATAACAGTTTATCAAAATAATAATTTCAGTACAACTCCTCTAAAATTATTATTACACAAAATACAACATAACTTACAGATTTTCTACTTAATCTAAATAACATTTTATTACGTTAATAAATCCCAAATATTTGTACATTTTAAATTGTGTCTTTTTTTGTGAAATGGTGAAAACCAAAAAAGGAACACAACTGTAAATAAGCAACTTACATCAAAAATCTGGATGTTGGCCTCACACCCATGTGTTGTGGAATGCCCAATCCGCAGTGTCATGTGTGAATTGCGCTGAGATAAAATGCACACACCAGAGCGCATTATGAGCACAATAACAGCAACTGGTATGTCTCTTGGTATGGCACCATAGCCACTGGTATAAATAGGCTCCTTGGTATTGCACCGTAGTACACCAACACATGTATTGTGCATTACCACAGTGTACGTGTTTATTCTTTAAATATATTTTTTTCATTTTATTTCAGATTTGTTACATTACTGTCAGGGAGCTTTGGTGATGCACCTGGTGGGGGCTAAACAGTCCCCCAATGTTTCCCCTTTTCAGAGAAAGCCTGAGGACACAGGACATTCTAATTCTCCCCTGTACTTTGTAATGAACATAAGAATACTCTGTGCAGAGCGCTTTTGTATTCATTCACAAACAGGAAGACATTGTAAACATGTGACTGATGTTTACTAGGTTTTCTGTTATAAATGATCACACAGTGCCCTGCACTGAGCATTCTTGCGTTCATTTAAGCAATCAATAACCATGATAAACATGTTTGTCGACCCTTTCTCCTTTACCATCCCGAAGATCCGATCTTCGCCCTGTGGAAGGGAGGGGGGGGGGGGTGTTGAGCCATCACAGGCTGGGAGAGGGGATCACAGAACAGAGATAAAAGGGAGAGCCATGAAGAAATCACAGAGCACCCAGAGTTGAGGTACAACAGAAGGGGATGGGGGGGGGGGGGGGGGGGGGGGGGGGGGAGAGGTTCAGTCTTACGGTTTGGAACTCCGTCTCTGATTATTAGCATAGGCCTGTCAAAAAAGGTGAGTGCCTCAAGGGTAAGGTTCGTGAAAGGGGTAGACTTGGTGTAAGGTGGAATATAGACATTAACCAGAGTAAATATCAGCTCTGGCAAAGACAGTTTAAGAATTACATAAGTGGTCCATAGGATTCATTATAATATCTGGTATGAGGAAGGGGAGGGCGGCACAGTGACTTAGTGGTTAGCACGTCTGCCATGCAGTAAATGGATTATGGGTTCAATTCCCAACCATGGCGCCTCCTGCATGTAGTTTGCATGTTCTCCCTGTGCTTGCGTGGGTTTCCTCCGGGTACTCCATTTTCCTCCCACACTCCAAAGACATGCTGGTAGGTTAATTGACTCCTGTCTAAATTGTCCTAGTTTCATCCCTGGCCACACGGGATCTCCTGCATGGTAGGGGTTGGGGAAAGACCTAGCAACCTACCCTGTAAAATAATTGCTAAGAGAATTCATGGAAAAAGTCGCTTACGAGTGACGGTCCATGCAATCGCCAAGGGTTGGATACGAACTGAATGGATAGAGAGAGAGATGTGGAAGGGGACCCTTTTGAAGGCCATAAAGTGTAGTGCCTGGAGTCAGACTAGTGGGGGTTTCTGCTTAACAAGAAAATCAGAGACCACTTAAGTATAGTTAGGCCCCTGGAATTCCAGGAGACAATCTTAATTTGTTCAAACACTGATGCTGTATCAGAAATAAGAAAACTTAAAAAAAAAAATATATATATACAAAATCAGGGAAATTTTATTCATGTAGCAAAGAGAGATGCAACCTAAACCCTACCCCACCTGCTCTTTAAAGCCTGGTTCACAACTATGTGGTTTAGTGCATTTTGCAGAAATGCACTACAATCCATTTAACATAGTTTCCTATAGGACATGTTCACATCTATGCGTTTTTCAGCCTCTGCGTTTTTTGGAAAAAGTCAGGGACTTTTTTTTTAAATGCAACATTTAATAGACCTCAATGGACATGCAGCAGAAACGCATGTAGTGTGTTTTTGATGCATTTTTAAAATGTGTTTTTGATGCATTTTAACCTGAATAACAAAAAAAAAATAACGCGTGAGAAAAGGATGAAAAACAAATTGCATAGGTGTGAACCAGGCCTAAACCAAAACTGCAATCTTTGAAGAGCACCATAAATATGCAAATAATGACATCTACTGGTACAATGAAAAAGTGCACTCATCAGCAAAGAGTTTTAAAGGGTAAGTTCACACTTTAGGAACATGTTATATGTTACACCCGTATTTAAGGCGTAACATGTAATATGTTATGTTAGAAACACTGGATTGGCTTGACAGCAATGGTTTTCTGTCCTGGCTGTGTGGAGAAGAAGGTGGTTTTGCCGTTCAGGGAGATTCTAAGCTTAGCCGGGTGCATCAAAGCAATGTCTCTCCCCTGAAGTCAAATCTTGATCTCCATAACTGTCTGTCTTGACCTTCATAAAGGCATGTCTTCTTTAAATCTCAGGGGAGAAGTAGAGAAAGCTGTTAATGCAGTTGCCACTGAAGAGGAGTTCTGCCACAGCCCTGGCGGCACAGTAGATTGCAAGAATTATAAAACTTCCATGATAAAGTGGCTATCAGGGGTCTGGGCCCAGGAGGTGGCTTCTGTGGGAGGATGCAAAGTGCTTTATGCCAAAGAAGATGAAGATTTCCAGGTTAGAGAGAGAATCTTTAAGCCATGTTTCTAGGAGAGTGTTCTGCCCTCTCAGGGAAACCCGTAAGTCTTAGGTTATTATGCCTGGAGCAATTTTTCAAAGCCTCTATTCTCTGTTGTCAAGCAAGAAGCTCCATCTTAATATCTCTGGAATCAGTGTTCAGGGAGATAAAGTCTCCTCAGTAGTACTTACGTGATCCTCTGCAGCAGAGGTACTGTAAGGTTTGTAAATCCTACTTCTGCAATATTTACCCCTTCAATCTGAGGGGCCAGAATGGGCTTACAGATGATCTCCAATTTTTGTGCCACAGAAGCTACAAATTGTTCAGAACTGCCCTCTGTGTCCTGTTCAAGGTTAGAGCCAAGTTCCAGAACAGCTGAAAAGGAGCAGCGTAGAGGCACCTCCTAAGATTCTTGGCTGCACTGAAACCATACAAGAGGAATAGGGTGCATGGCTGCCATCGCCATTTTGGCTATGATGAGAACAGGTCAGTTTTCCAGCACTGCTGGTGTACCTCCTTTGCCTGATTGTCCCCATCTCTGGAGTCAGAAGACAGGAGAGAGGTTGTACTGCAGATACTGGCCAGTGCAGAGGACAAGTGTGTGCAGAGTGGTTGCAGGATAGATGAGCCTAGTTGAACTCCAGGTATCAGCATGCCCATCATAAGGTGGGATAGTTGTTAATAATCACAGTGGTTTAGTAGTTATAACTTCTGCAACATTAGGGTCATCTGTTTGAATTCCAACCAGGACACTACCTGCATGACGTTTGCATGTGCTCGTGTTTTGCGTGGGTTTTCTCTGAATACCCGAGCTTCCTTTCACACCCAAAGACATGCTGGTAGGCTAATTGGCTTATGTCTACATTGGCCCTAGGATGTCTATGTATGCATGTGAGATAAGGAGATTGTAAGCTCCCTGAGGGCAGGAACGAATGTGAAGGTACAATGAATATGCAAAAGTGCTGCATAAATGGTCAGTGATATATAAAATACCTGTAATAAATTTTAAAAGATAATAAATAGCCAATAATAATTGGAGAATCCCAATAATCTCTGGGTGTCCTTAAGGCTTGTGAGTGGGGCAAATTCAATATTGAAAGCGCTTTGGAGAAGTCCATGATGGAATGATGTATCCTAAGAATGGCACTTCACGCACTTCAAAGACACATTTCTTCAGCTTTGCATTAAGTTTGTTGGCCCGAAGCTACTGGAGAATAGTGTGGATGTGACAAGAGTGGGAAGAGAGATCAAAAAGAACACCAAAATATCGTCCAAGTATACTGCCATGGACTTTTAGAGTACAGTAGATCTCTAAAGATATGGTTAACAAAATGCTAAAAGAGTGCTGGGGCTTTGCACAGACCAAAAGGGCATCACCAGATATTCATAGTACCTGTATCTGGTTTGAAGGTGGTCTTCCATTTGTCTCCAGCACAGATTTTGATGAGATTGTAAGCCCTTCTAAGACAAATTTTGAAAAAATGTTGTCCTCAAGAACATGGTCAAATAATTTGCTGATGGGCAGAAGACGGTGCTTGTTCTTTAAATTGATGTTATTCAGTCCATGGTACTCAATGCAAGGATGGAGAGACTCGTCCTTATGCTGTATGAGAAGGAATGCTGCATCTGCATGAGGAAGGGCAAATTAATACCTTTTTAAGATTGTTGGCAATCCTGTACAACTCCATGGCTTTAGAAACGTGACTGAGAGCAGCCAAGTGCATTTAGGCCCTACCATAAGGTATACACTAGGGCCTCATTGTTCCAGGACAGTGTACTGCAGAAGCGCAAAATTAAACTGCATAATGGCTG